AAGATTTCCACAAGGCAATCTCGAGTTCTCCTTTCGCGGCTATCGAAACCATGTCTCTTGATTCGTGCAAAGGGTTACGAAACGTTGACATCACTAATCTCCGTAATCTCAAGAACTTTTCTTTTCGTACGAAACCCTTGGCGTACGATCACGACGAACGATGTAGCATCGAGATCCATCCGCCATCGCTCGAGACGGTCAAAATTACGCACTGTGACCTTTGGTTCCGCAGAGGAGCGGATTTTTGCAGTCTCGATGAATTGTATCTATTTGGTGTGAAATCGAAATTGGACCAATTGTCTTCGTGTAAATTCTCGAGTCTGAAAGTGTTGACTATGCACTATTGTTACGAACTGAAAGAAACGAAGCTATTTATCGACGCACCAAACATAGTCAAATTTAGATATATAGGAGAGTTTATCCCATCCATCTCTTTTGGGACAACTAGTTCTAGACATTGGTCTTCACGGATACATCTGCTCCCGAAAAACGGCGCTTCTTCGTCTTTGTGGTTCCGAAAGCTAAAAGAACTGCTCGATTCGTTAGGCCAATCGATTTTTTTTTTGTTTATTATCGACAATTCCGAGAACGACGAGGGCATCATAATTCAAGACGGCGGTTGTGAAAAAAAACATGTTGTGGTGGAGAACTTGGGGATCCAATCTCGTTTATCGTCTACTTTTTCGTCTCTTTTGAACGGCGCGTTTAGTATTTGTCGTCCGAGAAACATCGGTGGGTACGACCTCAGAAAGGATATTGACGATATCGAGTGTGTGCAGAAGATTCTAATGCAGAGGGAAAGCGGAAACCAATTCGATCAATTCTCGCAGATGTGGTTTCGAGATTTGGAGGATGTGAGATTGCAGATTTACGACAAGAATCGGAATGAATGGATTACGACAAGTGTGTCCGAATTGACGAACTTTAAAGAAACCGAATATAATTATATTCGGTTTGCATTGAAATGGAGATAATTACGCCTAGTGAGACTTATAGAGAAAAAATCACTTTAATTTTGTTGTCTTTATATATCCCAGTTTTTATGCATTCTGAATCACTTTGATTTGTTTTAATGCATGAACGGTTGACATTTGTCCCCTGATTAAGAAACATTTACGGGTGCCGAAATCAAGGCACAAATATTTGACGGTCGGAAAATTATTTGATAAAGATGATTCGAAGAGAAAGAATGTAGAATTCATCGTTCGTCCAAACTGGACAATTAGCATCATATGCAAATGTTACTTATACAGAACAAAATACAAAATACAGTGGCAGATTTCTCAGCTAGCCATGAAATCTTACATATAATCGAACTCATTAGATATATCTTTGCACTTTTGTATTCAAGAGTTCACTTAATTATTTGATGATGTCATCAATTTGCATCCAAAAAATGGCCTACCACATATAATTATATATATATATATATAAGCAATCATCTTGGGCTGGATAGTTGTTCTGATTGAATTGGGCTATCGAGTAACGTTAGATCCAATTGCTCGTTGAATCTCTTCATTATTTCTTCGTTACAGAACTCTTCCCACATTTGAGCTAATAATAAGCCATCTCCAACTCCAAGTGGTAGCATTACCCTCACAATTTCCGACATATTTCCGGGTTGTCATGTGTGCAGAGCAGAGCTATTTGAATCAATTGCTCCACTTCTTCTTCAATGTAATAATTATTACCTCCAAAATCGGGATCAACAATCCTCTCCCATTGCTTTTCCTTTAAATACGGCTTTACCTGATCGATCATATTAAAATTTGGGAAGCTCTTAGTTAATTATTAAGGACTTACAACGGAATTATTAATTATTTATATGTACATAGGATCTCACCCAATCAAGTAACATCACATCTTCGTCATTAGCAAGCCGAGCAAGATCAAAAGCTCTCTGCCCTGTGATGAGCTCAAGAAGAAACATACCATAACCATAAACATCACTTTTCTCCGGAAGAGTACCCTTGGAGAGATACTCTGGGGCTATATTACCACCAATTGTTCCTCGTATAGCATCTTCAACATGTGTTACACCGTGCAAATAGGCTAGACCCCTTGCAGCCTCCGTTTTCTTACTGACCAATCAAGTGGAGGTTGTGACTCTTCTCCGGTCGATCTGCAATAACACCAATTAAATTTCAAACAAAAGATTAATTAATGGAGGTCTACTCTATGAATACTTATACAACAGTTCAATCAAGGTTGTATTACATTTATTCTTGAGGTACGCATCGTATAATATTTTCCCCCATATGGCGTCAATATTCATGGAATCTTTTAGATTCCATGAATATTTCTACAAAAAAACTCCAATTTTAACTATCAAATGTTTTTTTTTCAAAAACTATCCAATGGTTAACTATAATATTTTTTTTATGGAATTAATTACAATATTTCTACACAGTATAAAATATAGTTTATTATGAATATGGATGGCAATATTCTTTTTTTCTTACTTCACTTGCTTTTTATCTCAAACATTAACCGCTCGAGAAATTACCACTTAAGCATGATGCAACACTTCCGTTGGCCATGTAGGGATAAACGAGCAGGTTCTCTTGTTGTGTAACGCAAACGCCAATTAATGGGAGTAAATTTGGATGCACATTAACAATGCTCATCGTTTCAACTTCTGTTTTCAAATGCTGCAAATCTGTAGGTGAGATGTCTCGTAACTGTTTTATAGGAAAAATAGAATAGGAGAAAGAGAGAAATAATAATATTACGTAATCCCATTATGTTATGGGTTGATTACATGTAATATATAGAGAAATAATACGAGGTAATAGAGTTTGACTAGGTAACTAAATCCTAACTAATCTAGGTAACCGAATCATAATAGAATCCTAATATTCTATAATATCTAACAATATAATATACTCTAACACGCCCCCGCAGTCGAAACGTGACGAATGTGAAGACTGGACAATCACTTGCTAGCACGCTCACGCAGTCGGGACGAATAAGCTTCAAAAGTGAAGACTGGACAAAAACCGCAAAACACAACGCTAGAGAATTTCTCTGTGGAAATATCTGTCCAATTGATAAAATAATAATAATAATAATAATAATAATAATAATAATAATAATAATAATAATAATAATAATAATAATAATAATAATAATAATAATAATAATAATAATAATAATAATAATAATAATAATAATAATAATAATAATAATAAACGGGTGAAAAGTTTTTTTTTTTTTTTTGTGTATGATTCGAGAGAGAGAGAAGATATAAAAGCGGAAAAAGAATAATTAAAAGAAGAATAGAGATGAGAAAGAGAGAAAGGAGATTAACCAACTAAGAAGAAAAAGATGTCGGAAAGAAAAAAAAATATAAGTTACCACCATCGGGGGAGGGAGGAAATTGGTTTAGTGGTCGCCGGCCATGGAGAAGAAGAGAGGCGGCGGCTAGGTTTTAGGCCATGGAGAAGAAGAAAGGCGGCAGCTAGGTTTTAGGCCATGGAGAAGAAAAGAGGAAGAAGAAGAAGAAAGAGAGAAGATGCACCACCGGGGAGGGAGAAAATCCGGGTGGTGTTCATAGAAGATAGAAAAGAAAGGGAGAAAATTCGGGTGGTGTTCATAGAAGATAGAAAAGAAAAAGATAAATATTAGAGTACCACCACTGAGGAAGAAAGGCGGCTAGGTTTTCACCGCCATGGAGAAGGAAGGCGGCTAGGTTAAAAAACCTAAATCTGGTGCTCTGATACCATATAGAAATAATAGAATAAAGAGCCCGCATGGGTGTAGCTCAACTGGTTCCGGAGGTGGTAAGTTGGTGTAAGGTCCTAGGATCGAATCCTGGCAGCCGCAGTGTGGGAATTTCAACTCCAAATGAGGGTTGGTTCCTTGTGGGCACTAGGTCCGGGTCCGCTACCTTAACGGGCCGTTGAGTTAACCATGATTTACATCCTCCATCAATCCTTGTCGGACCAAGGAATGGGGGTCCGTTACCTTAACGGGCCGTTGAGTTACCATGATTTACATCCTCCATCAATCCTTGTCGGGCCAAGGGATGGGGGCCCTTGGGGCGAGGGATTCGCCTTTTGGTGTAAGAATAGAATAAAGAGATAGAGAGAAATAATAATACGTAATATAATAGAAACCCCATTATGTTATGGGTTGATTACATGGAATATATAGAGAAATATTGTAAGGTAATAGAATTTGACTAGGTAACTAAATCCTAACTAATCTAGGTAATCGAATCATAATAAAATCCTAATATTCTATAATACTCCCTCCGTCCCATTTTAAATGTCGTTTTTTGTGGTTACGCGTAGATTAAGATAGTCAATAAATATGTATAGATTATACCAAAAATAGCATAGTAAATACTAAAATACCCTTGTTATTAATTATTTTTTAATTAACTAATTAAGAGTGATAAGGGGCAAAATTGATAAAAATGCAATTAATACCATATTGAAACTCTAAAATGACAAATAATTTGGGACAAAAAAAACACTCCAAAAAGACATATAATAAGGGACAGAGGGAGTATCTAATAATATAATATACTCTACCATGTTTATATCTTTTAACCGCCACTAGAATGCCATTTGCTAACCGGCCTTTGTAGGAACTTATACCATATTGATCTTTAGATAAGATATTTCTATTCGAAAAGTTATCTGTTACAATCTCCAATTCGTCTAGAGAAAATTTGCTAACTCCTGCATACAAGCGCCCATTGAATCACCAATTAAAATACAAAACAAGTAATGTGGGAACATTATATATATATATATATATATATATATATATATATATATATATATATATATATATATATATATGTATATATATATATGGTAAATAGCACTTAAACCCCCCCTTGGTTACAAGCTTACCTCCTTGTGCTAGTAACATCAGCACATAATCCCATTGTAGTTGATGGTGGTAACTTCCGTTAGTTTTTCCGTCAAACTTAATTGTATGTGTCACGTCAAAGTATTTTTTTTTGCAGATGATCCCCATGTGCTTTTATTTCTGCAGATGACCCCCTTCAAATTTGACACACGCGGTTAAGTTTGACAGAAAAACTACCGGCAGTTACCCCCATCAACCACAAGGGAGTTATGTGCTGATATTACGAGCACAACGGACATGGGAAAAAGCTTGTAGGAACATACTAGCAATTAGATTACCTGTAAACAAGTAATGTAATTTAAATCCACATTTAGAAAACTAACCGGCAGGAATATTAATGATATGATGTTTTTGCCGTGGTTTCTTTCCTTTGTACCAATTAGCAGGAAATAGCTTTCGTGTGATATTGGCTCCACCGGATTTCTTGCCAACTGGAATAAGCAACAAACAGCCAAATGTTATTCATTAAATTTTATTTGAAATTCCAAATTATAGTGGGGAAAGCCCACTATAAAAAAAAATGTGAATTACAAAAATATTAAGGCATCGTTTGGCTGAGGAGATTAGCTATTATTTACTAAATAATTGGACTTTGTCTGATGTTTAGTATCACAATAAATTATCAGACCGATCCGTAAATATTATGCTATCACGACTTACCTTTCTTATCTTGCCTTTCAGAGAGTTTTTTCTTTATTTTTTTTTTAGAAATTCTGTGGTCCTATTTTTAACCGGGTTTAATTCACCAAAACATTAAATAAATTAGGAACCTGGAGAGACAGTAGGCGGGTTATTAAGTTGCAGTGGAGGTGGCCGAGATACAGATGTAGCTACTGCCCATCTTTTACTCCTGAAAATTATTGAATAAATAGTCCTCATTTTTTAATGCAATCAAAGATCTCCGCTTTCCAATTAAAAAAAAAGAAAAATGAATAATAATAAATTACTCGAGAAATTGTTCGTTGAAACGATCATCGTCATCCACTGATGAAGCGACGGTGCTGATAGAGTGAGAGTGGAATAGTTCCCAAATCTGCTGCTTCCGTACAACCGCTGTCACTAACCTCTCCCAATTATCCCTAGATGAGTACATCTCTCTAATCTCTCTCTCTCTCTAAACTTTTCTCTCTCTAGCTTACGATCACAATATAGAATTAACTATATAATATGAATTTTTTCAGATTTGATTAATATGTTTAAAATGTTGTTTCGCTGAAATTGTGTGGAAAGAGAGGAGAAACGCGTTTTCCCCACATCATAGTCAAGCAGAGTGGGACTACTCATTTACTGAATGACATGTCTTTGCATTGTCACAGTTGATCTTTATTCTTTTCCTTTTTCCTCTTTTATTTACATTCAATAGATCAACTGAATCGGCAACGCCCATGATTTTTTTTCCTTTTTTTTTTTTGTTTTTTTTTTTGGGTTAAATACAAAAACACCCTTGTACTATGGACTTGGTATCATATATCCCCTAAACTACACATAAATACAAAAACCCCCCTACTGTTATATATTTTTCAAAATTTGACGACCCCTGCTTAGCCTATAAATATAAGGGTTTGTTTGAGCCATTTTCCACTATATTTTTTTAACATTTTCGGTCAATTTTACTTGGGAAATTTAAATATTTTTTATTTTTTTCTCCAAAACATTTAACTACTTAGATATATTTTTTTTAAATTTTCTGAATAAAACCTTTTTATTTTTGTCATTTTGAATTTCTTCATTTTTTTCTTAAATGTCTTCCGGTAGTTCAAATTCTCAACAATCATAGTATTGTAAAGATGGTTGTAATCTTAGGATGTTTGAACTACCAGAACACATTTAAGAAGAAAAAAAATGAAGAAACTCAAAATAACAAAAATAAAAGGTTTTATTCCGAAAATAAAAAAAAATCTAAGCAAATAGATGTTTTAGAGAAAAAAATATGAATACCAAAATTTTCAACGTAAAATTGACTGAAAATGGCTCAACATATATATATATATATATATATATATATATATATATATATATATATATATATATATGTGTGTGTGTGTGTGTGTGTGTGTGTGGTAAAATATATATACTTGAGTAGGGGTATTTTTGTCATATTTTGAAAAAATGTAATGTGAGGGGAGTTTTTGTATTTATGTGTAGTGCAGGGGGGTGTATGATACAAAATTGATAGTACAGAGGTGTTTTTGTATTTAACCCTTTTTTTTCCAGCTATTCAATCAACACAGTAATAGTTAGTAAAGTATGATCTTAACCAACAGAGTAAAATATCCAGAAAAGAAAAATGGAAAAAAAAAAGCCGCAGCTATTTGAAATACTAATTCCAATAAGGAGACGATCAAATTGAATTTTTCAATGTAAATACTATCTTACAAAGAGAACAAGTATGAAATTAAAAGACATCAAAATGACAATTAAAAGACATCAAAATGACAGTATGCATTAATGTCTATTTTTTAGCTAGGTGACCATAGTTATAGATTCCAACAGTTTACCAAAGAACCAACACAACTAATATAAGAAAAAAAAAATTGGGTAAAATCCCCTATAGTTACAAACTTTTGCAGATGACCCCCTTTTGTTCGTAATATCAAAATAGGGTAAATAATACTTAACCCCTTGTGGCTACCAGCTTTTGCATATGATTACATTGGGCTTATAATATGAGAGCATACCCCATTGCGGTTGATGGGAGTAGCTTTCGTTAGTTTTTTTGTCAAAAAATTAACCGTCTGTGTAGAACGTTAATTTTAACGCAGAAACTAAGGGACGATACCCCTATTAACCACGAGGGAGCTATGTGCTAATATTACGAGCACAAGTGGGTCATGTACAAAAGCTTGTAACGACAAGAGGTGGGTAGGTAGAACAATAAGATTTCTATTTCTAAATATCAGGACTAGAGAATAAAACGTACCATGTAAAGTGAACCGTAGAACTTTATTTATGGTGTGATTAGTAGAATCCTTATTAGAGTATAACTCTAAATAGGATTAGTAAACCCTAATGGACTTTTAAGATCTTGTTAATGGAATTAAGCCATCAGTTAATGACTATGTAAGGTGGATCTCGGGCCTTTTAGATGGTCCAAATACTTTTTGGCTTATTGTGCCGGTCCAACAAGATATATCATTTATCCTATATCTTTTTAGGGTAAATAGCACTTAACCCCTCCTGTAGTTACAACCTTTTGCAGATGACCCCTTGTGCTCTTAATATCAACACATAATCCCCTTGTGGTTAAGGGAGTAACTTTCGTTAGTTTTTCCATCAAACTTAACCACATGTGTCTAAGGTGAAAGTATATATTTTTTGTTTGCAGATGAGCCCTCTTTGCTTACATTTTCCCTTTCATTTTTGCAGATGGCTCCCTTAAAGTTTGAAACATGCGGTTAAGTTTGACGGGAAAACCGACAAAAGCTACCCCTTAGACCACATTGATCAATTCAACAATGATCCCCGTATCCCAACTTTCATTGATAGTAAGCCATCTCCGTAGTATTATCCTCACAATATCCGACATATTGGGTCGTCTCTCCGGGTTGTATTGTTTGCAGAGCAGAGCTATTTGAATCAATTGCTCCACTTCTTCTTCAATGTAATAATTATTACCTCCAAAATCGGGATCAACAATCCTCTCCCATTCCTTCTCCTTTACGTGTGTCTTTACCTGACATATATTATTGGAGAAGCTCTTAGTTAGTTGTTAAGGCGATCGAATATTACAGCATACTTTACGAGGCAATTATTAATTATATATATGTACATATGCTCTCACCCTATCAAGTAACATCACATCTTCGTCATTAGCAAGCCTACCAAGATCAAAAGCTCTTTGCCCTGTGATGAGCTCAAGAAGGAAAATACCATAACCATAAACATCACTTTTCTCTGAACAAATTAACCTAGAGAAATATTCAGGAGCTATATGACCAATTGGTCCATGTGTGTGGCCAGCTCAAAGTTACCAATAATTGCTTCAAAGTCCTCGTTCAAATATATATTTACAGCATTGACGTCACGATGGATGATTTTACGTTCAAATCCATAGTGCAATAGGCTAGACCCTTTGCAGCCCCGAATGCTATCTGTTTTCTTATTTGCCAATCAAGTGGAGGTTGCGACTCCGGTCGATCTGCAACAACACCATTTACTCTATAAGATTCTTTTAGGGGATTAATTATAATATTTCTACATAATATAAAATATAGTTTATTATGAATATGCATGGCGAATATTATTTTTCTTACTTCAGTTGCTTATTATCTTAAACATTAACTAACGGCTCGAGAAATAATTACCTCTTAAAAATGATACAACGCTTCCGTTGGCCATGTATGGATGAACGAGAATCTTTTCTTTTTTCGTTACGCAGATACCAATTAATCGGAGTAAATTTGGATGCGCGTTAACAATGCTCATCGTTTCAAATTCTGTTTCGAATTGCTTTCGAAATTGGAGTAACTGTTCATATCTTTTAATGGCCACTAGAATGCCATTCGCTAACCGGCCTTTGTACAACTCCGCAAATCCGAATCTAAAAAGGATATTTCTATCTGCAAAGTTATCTGTTGCAATCTTCAATTCCTTTAGAGAAAATGTTCGAACTCCTGCACACAAGCCCATTGCATCACCAATTAAAATACAATGCAAGTAATGTAGGACGAAGGAACATATTAGCAATTAGATTACCTATAAAAAAAAGTAATGCAATTTCAATCCACATTTAGAAGACTAATAGAACTAAAGTTGTGTTTTTGTACAACTTATAAAGCATAGGAATTTATGTAATAGAACTAAAGTTGTGTTTGTACAACATAGCAACTTATATCTGCATTAGATAAAAATGCTATGTAGATATAAATATTAGTTAGTTTTATAGTATGGTATATATGAGTAAAGTGCAATTACCTCCTCTATGTAATCTTGATATGCTAAAAAAGCTCCTATCAAATAAAAACTAGCAAAAACTCCCTTATGATCTTGTTTAAATAGAACACTTAAAACTCTTTTACCATTTACGCATTGACCAGGCGGGAATGTTGGTCCCGATACATAAAACGGGTAGTGAATTTAGTAAATTGGTTGAACAAATTAATTAGTGAAAATACGAAAAGATTAGCCGAGGCGAGTTGACTATGTCCTTAAGACGAAATTTCCCCGCAACGGTGCTAACGGATTAAATGGAAATCGTCTCCCAAGATACAACAGCAAAACTTGGAATAAGAGCACTCCAAATCCCAAGTACGACGAACTGTACTTTGTGTAGAACTTTTCGAGAGAATCTGTGAAGGGTAGGCTTAATATGTAGTAGTAGGCTTGTTTTTGGATTGAAGTGAGGAATTGTGGGAAAGTTAGGGTCTATTTATAAGGTTCGAAAAGTAGTGTCCTTTTGGAGTAAAAAGGTACCTTTTGTTTGAATGGTTGCACCATTTCAAATTGAGCCAATTGGGAGTGGTTGCACCATTTCGAGTTGAGCCGAATGGTTTGCATTGGTTCGGCCGCACCAATTCAAACCAGTCAGACAATCGAGATGGGCTTCGAGTAATAAGGGCCCAATGGGTTAAAAGCCCATGATCTAATGTTTTTGGCCCGTCCCAATAATTTGATATATATACAGCTCAGTACTTCTCTACTTTTCCAATGTGGGATAACTCAAAATCCCGCTTTCCTTATATTTTGGACTAGTAATTTTTTTCATTCACCACAAAATTGGTTCTAATCCAAAATTCATTATATACTCAATTAGACGGTACAATAACATTGATAAAAAAATGTTCATGACTCAATTTTTAACCAATTTTCCCAACAATCCCCCACATGAATGAAAACGAGGGCGTCGATTCTCTCTAGAGTTCCCGCGAATAGTATTGCATCGGGATAGGTAGCATATAGCTTTGAACCTTCCGTAGTGGAGTTACATCGGATTTACTAGGCTGAGTAGTGAACGCGATGTCTTGAACTGTCAGCCGTTCGTGTAAACCAAGACAATGCAACCCACACAATACTATTCTCACATTTCCTTTGTTCTCATGATTGTGTCCGTTTTGGCCATGGACACACATCTTGGATTCATAAGTGTTTGTCAAGTTTTTGAAGCGGCCCTCACTTCATACACTTACATAGGTGATCTCCTATTAAAGGTATCCTGCCAATACCTCACCTTTTGTTATAAGGTTTTGGAATCATTAAAAGCTTTCGCTTATCCTTTACCCTCTCTGCAGGCAGCACTAATGTCTATCACGGGAATGAGTTGGAAATATATTATTCCATAGGAATATATACTCCTTAGTGCATCACTGAACTTTCTTAGCTTAGTTGTCCCTTTTGAACCAGTTCTTGGGATCTCCAGTCAGCATGGTTGGGTTACCACCAAGATTGTCCTTAATTTATGGGTTTTAATCTCACTCCCCTAGACAGGCAATATGTTTGATCTCTTTAGTTGACTTTTAGTCGCGGATCCGCTATTAACCATTGATTTTCATAATCAATGTTATATTATTTCTTTTGAGATCAATTGCCTAATGGTCTTATGTGTACGAGTGTATCGATACTTGCCATTATACATGTCGTTTGTGCCCTTAACGTAACCGATTGGTTATCACAATTTATTCATAATTGTAGACACCGACTTAGTCCAACACGGAACATCCTCCAATAATTTTATGAAGTTTATTCAACTTCTTTTATAACCTTATCTCAAGTTATACATTCGAATTCGACCATGAATCGAGCTATTCAATTTTGTTTGAGGATTTCCAAGATACATAATCTTAGTGGACTCATATATCCAATGTATTTTCCTAACACAATAAGATATTTTCTTTAATGTAATCCATTTAAAGGCTATACTTAGATTACCTAAGAACCCTTATAATATCATTTAATGATTATTATTTTTGGAATTACATATTTACTAGTTTGCAATTCATTATGCTGCCAAACTATCCAAAAATATTTGTAATTGAACCATTGTTCATCATTATTTTTGGCAAGGTAAACCCTTGGTCTTTAGATAACTAGATCAATTTTCTAGTAGTGTCTCAACATGAGACTTTCAATAAGACTATCTTTGTCTTAGTGATTTTAATCTGTAAGATTACATCGTCTAGACCCTCGTCTTTTGACATCAAAAATTTTATTTTTACTTTTCCAATATTTTCTCAACGTTCAAAATAGTATCATGATCACTATCTCATGATTATAATGTCGTCTATAGACATATACTTCCATGTGCTTTTAATATAAACACACTGGCCACACTCGTTATTACGAGAATTACTAACACAATTTTATCAAATATTACTTTAGAATATTTCCATAGCTATTTAATTTAGCTTGATATTACAATGTTATAAATAATCAAGATTTTCCATAGCTATTTAATTTAGCTTTATTGGACCACCCTTAATCATTCCTTTGAATAGTCCATCAAAACCTTAATGGTTTACTACTTGGAAGAAGACAGACTAACTTCCACGTACATTCTTCCAATGTAGACAATATTTCAATAATTGTCCTTTGTTCATTTTATAACTCATAAAACATATTGATTTTCTTTGTCATCTTGTTGTATCTTGGTTGTTCATCACTTTGATGATTTACCAATCACACATATTTTAACTTGGTTGTTCATCACTTTGATGATTTACCACTTAGACATTTATTAGTTCTCTTATTTAGAACTTATTTATTTTCTTATTTTACAAGAAAGATATAATGTAATTTGCATCAAGAATGACTATCTTATGCACAATCATTATTTGCATATTCAATGAATATGCTTCTTTCCAACTTTCATTCACATAGCATTTAAATGCTTTGAGATCCTTATTTTTATTTTTATTAATAAGGATACAACATATAACAAAATACATCTTCTTTTGTTAGAAAAATATATTGGGTCACCAACATATTTAATTACAAAGTATTGTATTTCTTTCTCTCAAGAAAGCACAGAAAGAGAAATCTTCTCAAGATACTTAAATCTTGTCAACAAATAAGATTTCTTCATTTTCCTCAAAAGAGAAAACCCGTCAAGATACTTAAATCTTATTAATAAACAAGAGAATATTATTCTCTTCAAATGGTGGTTGATCTCCACTATTCAATATTAACGTTAGAATATACAAATTCTAATCTTAATCGTTCATAATTTAGGATTGTATGTCCTAAACATGCCGTTCAAAATTCAGCCAAATCCAACGATTTAATTCTACAAAACAAGCTCTTAAGTAAATTGCTCGAATTTTATTTCAACAAAGCATTCATTGTTGTTTACAATTATTTCGGATGTTTGGAAATCAAAATCCGATCTCATCCATTCACATTGTAGATCATCACATTGTAAATGTGATATCAAAAAATCAAATTGAACCAACGATTCGATCTTCTCTTATGTTCTTGAGACAAGAACTACTCATGTGCTCTCATGAATTGAGCTTCTCTTTCTTTCTATTTTATTTCAAATCGTGCTTTTAATTAAACCGTAGTATGATTCATATATAAAACATATGTACATCAATATTATAATAAACGTAATATTTGACATGTGAGCACGTCTTTCATACTAGTTGATCATAAAAAGAAACAATATATCAAGCATATTATATCAACATATAGTATACACACGAGTATATAATAACATCAAGTTTGAACATAATATTTCATGCCATAAATTAGTTCATGTCCAACATAATGAATTGATATAAATTTTATAGCACGTAATCAATGCTTGTCCATGCAATAACACAATTATGATGAATTAGTATGGTTTACGCAAATAATAATATGTATACTAATATTCCTCTTACTAAGTAACTCATACTTAATATACGAGACAAGTCTAATCGCTCATAGATAATATTAAAAATGTTAATAGGATCACGTACTCACGAATTTCATATAACATATTCGAAAATCTATCAACTGAATGGTTCCACATCAACTGAAAATTGGGAGAAAGCTAATCCCCTATCAAAACTATATGCAAGTTATGCAAATAAATATTGCATTTTCATAAGAAATGTCATGTAGTATAGCACATATCATGATGTTTATAATACACTTATTCAAATAATTAACATATATGCTATCACTTTATTGCATTTAGGATAAAAATATTTCTATCATTAATGTACATGCAACAAACATAATGAATATTCATTAAGCATATATATTGTATATGGTTTACCATGCTTCCACATAGAAAATTAAACTATCATGCAATAATCCACCATTATATCATATAGCATTATCAATATATTTCACAAATAGATATCTTATAATTAAAAAGCGTACCCGATAAATTATATGTTCGTCAATTCAAAATTTTGTGGGTAGCACCAAATCGTGTCAATATTATGGAAGTGCTGAATGATTTATTCATATCTCTTCCGTCCCAAGTCCGATTTTGTTGATTCAATATGATCCGAACAGCCAACAAACTTTTCTACAACTTTTATCTTTTACGTTTTCTGAAATTCGGATTGGATCATGATCAAAATAAGCCTCGAAGTCGGAATAGGTGTGCTGTAAATTTGCACCAAAATTTCGTGCATTGGACATTGGTGATGCGTTAATATGCGACGAGTTGCATTGGTCACGAACGGTTGTATTTTTCATGA